GTTCATAGAAGTTCCCGTCTTTAACTGCTCCACTAAATGTGTTTACTTATGTTTGCAAACATATGCATATAGAATGGCATATATCTGTATGGATATGCATGTATATATCATTTGAATGGTTTTTTTTTTTTTTTTTTTTTTGCTTCATATATAAAATAATCAAAATGTGTCAAGAACGTAACTGTTCACTACTACTGTAATTTATATGAGACCGCATACCACATATCAACTTTATGTACTTCCTAGATGCGTACCTATGCACGCATGCATTCATCATGGATACCCTCTAGCACAAATCTACATGCACAGGTTTCGATAATATCATATACGCGCGTATACAAATACAAAATTGCTAACATTCTATGGCATTCATCATTGTGTTGTTTACACACATCTTTATACAACCATTCGCTATATCTATGGCATGTAGGTAAACGTACATTAGTACAACTACAAAAACACTTCTATTTATATACATATGCTATGTATATCTACAAATATGCATTCGTATGTATTCGTATGTGTGTGTGTTTGATTGTTTGTGTGTGTGTGTGTGTGTGTTTGTGTGTTTAATAGTATCTATGGTTACCCCCCTTTAAGAGGATTATTAACGCTATTTTTTATGCTTTACTTTAACTCAAGCAAATTAGTGTTGAAATATTCTTAAATAAAATCCTAACTGACGAACGAGCCATACATGTCCACGTAAATATGATACATGATCCGTAATGAGAGTGATTGACAACTTGACAAATATTATTATTATTTTTTTTCTTTCTTTTTTTCTAAAAGAGTACTTTAAGCCTATAACAGTATAACTAATATGAACAAAGTAAAAGAGGAGAGTAATAGTAGCATTATCACAAGCTGAATATGTGTTATATATATAAATTCAAGATCAAAAGTTGAAGAAAAAACATGAAAATAAAAATAAATTAATAAAAGTTTGCCTTTGAATTTCCTATCAAAATTTATTAAGACAATAAACAATGACTTCATTTGTACTTCATTAAGTAAAATAATTTAAATTAACTTATGGCTCCCGTTTTGTAAAATAATGCCTTTTTTCTTTTAATTATTATCGTTATTATATACTTATCGTCTAAAGGGCAGATCATAGATAATATATAAAAATCTTTTTAATATTCGAATTTGAGAGCTTGAGTTTTTTTTCTCCCGAGCTGAGAAGAGATAGCAATGTTTTCCAATTTCAATGTTTTCTTAAATCCATGCAAAGTACATTTATCTGTTCATTTTTCAATTTCGTCTAACGCGCGACTCTACTTTGATAATGGATATATAGACTCTTGATTGAAATTGTTAAAGTATTTTAATATTAAACGCATCGACAGGTGCCCCAATAGGTGAATACGATGAGTGTAAATCGATGTAGCTATTACGTTTATTATATAAGCTACGAAATAATGTTATCATTATTAATATAATTTATTTAAACCAAAGAAATGAATTTTACTAATAAATTCTATATATAAAGTCTCTACTTTTTTAAATAAGTAAAAAACCCTACAACAGCACAGACCACTTGGCTTAACACAGTTCATTCATGATACATATAATGAGATTTCAAATTATTCCGTTATATGGAAAATGATCGAAGAAGTAGTAGCCCGGTCCGAATCATTGTCATTACTGTTTGCCTTTAGTCCATAGCACGTCATGTAATTGTATTAAAATATCTCAGAAATTTGCGACCTGCAGGTTAAACAGATGGAAATAAGATGGACAGATGGACGGACAAGCTTTAGTCAGAATAGCTTTCGGAATCGACCAATATAATAAACTGTTGGTCTATTTCAATTCCTTCGAAGTATTGCGTACCGCAGTTGGTGTAGGATATAAAAAAGGACAGCCTAGCCCTGACTGATATTTTAATAAAGTTGTACTCCGCATATGTGAATCTTCGATAATATATGTTTAATCTCAACACTTTCTCCACAATTGCAAATTCGAAGATGAGATTTCTTATGGCTCCATTGGCATCTTGCAATGGTATGGGTCAATGCAAATTTTGCTTTGCTTTTAATTTTCTCGACTTTGGTTGGATACACATATTTGGGGGAACGTGGACGGTAGCATTGCCGATTTATTTCGCCAATTTTCTCTTTATAATTAAAAAACTCAGACTCAAGCGCGAGAAAGAAAATTTGAAAAACTTTCGTGGTATTTGTGACAACAGTAAACTCATCAAGCCATGCTATAGAGCGTGTGAAAGACGATAGACAAGGCATTCGTTAATTCACTTGAAAGTAATAGCTTTCGTTTGCGAGCGATTGGTTATAAGAAGATTGGTTATAATAACAGCTATGAAAAACGGACCGAACGCGACAATAGTTTACAACCTGAAGTTGCACAAACAATAGCATAGCTGCAATTGACGACCCGTAACGAAAAGCCTTGAATTTGAGAGAATTGGAGCGAAAATATGCGTTATGAGTGCCCCCACCCTGATTGGGCGATTGAGTCCAACATCTTCTGTGAAAAGTAAAGCGATTAAACCCTCAAAGTTTAGGTACAGTCTCCAAAATTGATCAAAGGAAAGGCATCGTCGTCCACCGTGACGTCGCTTCGTAAAAGTTGAGACAACTGTACCCGGAAGTTTCAATATTGTAATTCACTGCATAGCACGTACATTGTTCTGTCCGACACCTAAAATTTCGAATATGTGAAAGGAGTTTTACAATCCACCTGAGAAGATGTCACGAATTATTCTATTAACGCAAATAGTTCCCTCCCTTATCAAATGATTGAAAACCCAGACTGAATTTATATAAATATATATATACAATAAGAATTTATATAAATTCGTAACGTTTTCCGTTAATCCGCAATTTTAATGCCTAAAGATGTCATTTTTTCGATGACATGTCCAGAGCATAAGTTTGTCTTTTGTCGAAAGTCCTCGAGTTTCAAGAAATTGAATGAGGTAAAGAAGTAAAATATATTCCAAACCCATACTACTCAAATCGATAATATTTTTATGAAAAGCTAAAGATTGTATGTATGTATCACCTGAGTGATTTAAAAGTTTCCCGAGAAATAATAATATGCTATAAGAAAATCATGTTGATCTCTGACGGAACTTTTTATACCCAACACCGTTTTCTCAAAAAAAAAAAAATAAATAAAAATTTTTTCATACTCTCTAATATTGGATGAACGGGGCAGTTTTTTTTCCATTCTTCAGACAACATAGAATCGCTAATAGAGTAAAGTGTAATGCAAATTTTTATAGTTTTATCAGTTGCAAAAAACCAAATTATTTTTGCCATTAAAACCACAGATATGTTTTTAGGTTACGTGCCACCGTAGATACTCCAGGCGTGTTGTAGTTCTTCGACCGTTTTGAAGAATTATCAATGCTTCTGATAAACTCTCAGTTTTGCGCTCAGCAGTATATTGACAGCAGACATCACGTGTGCAGACGGACAGGGGGACAGACAGGCATGTTTCGCAGCTGTATTGATTCACAGTTTCATACTGACCGAGTATGCTTGAATAATTAGAACTCTGCAAAGTATTTTGTAGAATTATGGGCGTGGCAGTTAAACAACCAACCGTTTGAAGAAGTGCAGAAATTCTGGTTTTAAATCGATATCTGCCACAGTTAACATAATCTTGTGGTTCGCGACCTTTCCTTGCACTGATAGTCCCGATCAATAAATGTTCCGGGATAAATCAGTTGACTAATAAGCATTTAAAAGACGTTTAAAATGCGCTTCAAAGCAGATTCAATTTTATTAACCGTTTCGCGAAAATATAAAAGGTGGACAGTGAAAATTCGCGATTGCGAAATCGATAAACAAGCGGCATAGGCGAACGTGAATAGCTGTTCTGCCACCTTAGAACCGATAATGTTGAGATAAGTAAGTACATCGGACACTGTTATCTTATAAAAAAAAGGACTACAAAAACAACAGTGAAAAAAACGAGCTTACTTTGCATTGATGGATGGGCGTGGCTGATCTTTTCTATCCCTAAAGAATGAAAGTAGAAATTTATATCGATGCATGTGTGCACTTAGTGAGCAAAGAGCAACTTACACGGAAAGCAAATGTGTTCTCAGTTAATGTTACGTTACGTAGGTGTGTCCTTCGACCATTTTTGGGTCCTTTTCAAATACTTTGGCAAATTTGTGGGCAGTATCTTCATTTTTGCGAGCGAGAAAATGTCCATCGCTGGTACTACAGCGAAGCACAAGCTGAGGGCAGACGGACAGAGGGACACGCTTATATCAATTCATAATTTTATATTGATCAAGAATACATATGCAATTAATGGGATCTCTGAAGTTTCCTTCCGAATGTTGCAAACGTTTTGATAAATGAACGTATCTCTTAAAAGTATTGTATCAACAACAATAACAAAAATACATTAGAAAGGATATTCACAAATTACTTAGAAATAGAAGATATATATATACATATATATACATATATATAGTTAGCGTAAAGCATTGACGCACTTTTGATGTTTCTTTTGAAACTATCGGTTTTTTTTTTTTTGGTTTTTTTGTTTTTTTTTTTTTTGTTTTTGTTGTTGTGCTTAAAGAACCGCATTATTTATTTGTACGCTTAGTTTGTTGCATATAAATAACGTAACGTTTGTTTACAAACCGCAATTGTTCCATTGAACTAAAAACTAAATAGAAAAAGAAACGCACACCTATATATAGAATGGGATGTTAACATAACGCACAACATAACATAACACCGAAGAGATGAAAGAATAAATCAAGTGGAAATCAATTTAAATAGCATTAAATGACAATAAGAAAAATAAGTGGATGTTTTTCTTTTTTTATTTTCCATTTTTCTTATTGTTTAGCGTAGTTTAGCACAATAGGTTTGTTGTAGTTTCATACGAAAGAAACCTTTTAAACACATACAAACCGCAATTGGAGTTATTAATTTGAAACACATAACGATGTCATCTATATGTACGTCAATGCGTTCATTTATTATTTATCTTTCTCGTTCTAGTTCACTCTTTACCTCACTTAACGGTATTGAGTTTATCTGGTTGCAGTAAATTAACCGATGATGGCGTTGAATTAATAGCAGAAAATTTGCAAAAGCTTCGGGCTTTAGATTTGTCCTGGTGTCCACGCATAACCGACGCCTCATTAGAATATATTGCCTGTGATCTAAATCAATTGGAGGAATTAACATTGGATAGGTAAGCGTGAATTGATTTAATGACAAAAGAAGAAAAAAATTAATAATAATAGTAATAATACAAACAATTTCTCATTATCTATATATTCAATTTAGATGCGTACACATAACCGATATAGGCGTGGGCTACATTTCAACGATGCTTTCGTTGACTGCTCTCTTTCTGCGCTGGTGCTCGCAAGTGCGTGACTTTGGTCTACAACATTTATGCTCTATGCGTAATCTGCAAGTGCTCTCGCTCGCCGGCTGCCCTCTCTTAACCTCATCCGGTTTATCGAGTCTCATACAATTGCGCCATTTGCAAGAGCTAGAATTAACTAATTGTCCGGGCGCATCTCAAGAACTATTTGAATATTTAAAAGAGCACTTGCCACGTTGTCTGATAATTGAATAATATCTTAAACTTATGGTAAAACCAAGCTTAATGAATAGAATACAACTCCCTATTCTTCATGTGCTTCGTCTAATTCGTTTTCGCCGTCGTCGTCTCCTTCTTCTTCTTCTTCTTCTTCTTCTTCTGTATCATTATCATCATTATCATCATTATCATCGTCATCATCTATTATTTTTGAATTTTAGTTCCTAACTGTGTCTGTTATCTACTTGTATGTATATATGTTTATGTATGTTTACATGAATGTATAGAATTTCAGTTTTTCTTTTTCTGTGATTTTAGTTTTTAAGTTTCAAAAACAAAAACAAACAAAAAATAAAAACTAAAAAAAAAAAACAAAAACGAAAAAAAAAGGCAAACAAAAATTTGAAAAATTTATGAATATATAGACAACTTATTGAAACCGATCTGCATACGGAGAAGATATTAAATAAGTATATAAAAAAAGTAAGGTTATGTGCATAAATATTTTCAGCAAATATCTATATCTTCTCCCTTGATTTTTTAAACATGAAATATCCGATTTTTTTGCTTTTATTTAAAAAAAAAAAAAAAAGAAAAGAAAACCACAAAAACAAAAACTTATAAATGTTACAATTATAAAATACAATGAAAAAAATGACAAATTTTTGGCAAAACAAAATGAAATGAAATCCTCAAGTGAAAATTAATGATAAAAATAAAAAATAAAAAAAACCAAATTAGCAATAAATTTATACTTGAACTAAAGAGTAGAAAAATAATCCTTAACAGTCTAGCCTCTTTAAACTTAAACCATATAGAACAATGAATATTATCATTAACAATTAGTTTAGAAAATTAAACCGAAAATATATAAAAAAAAATAACAATAAACGTAGCTTTGCTTCACAACTCTTAAGCTTTCTGTCATAAACGATTGTTGGATTTTAAAATTTGGTTTCAAGATTACAAGTAAAACCAGGAGCAAGTACACAGCAACTAACATTCGGCTCGAATCGAAACTTTTAATACCCACCACTAAATTATATACGATATTATATACGATATTTTATTGTGAGTCATTGTCAATATATCGATCATACATTATATATATATATATATATATATATTTTTGTATATACGATAAAGTATTCTTTCACGATTTGGAATCTTATGGATTTTTAACAATTTCTGAGGGAAATCTTCGAATCGATTTACTTCATTTTTTTTTCTTTTCAGACGTCGCACAAAACAGGTTACACAGCACACACAAAGGTGAAAATTATTTTGGCTGTTTTAGATGGCGTCCCAACAACAAATTTCCTCGTTATTCGCTTGCGATCGTTTAACGAGAAAGCGAAAATGTGAATTACGCTCTTTGCGGTACAAGAATTTTGTAAATTTGAATAAATTTGAAAATTTTATTTTTGTGGACTTGATTGAATTCATTGTTTTTCTTTTGTAGCAATTATTGAACAACTGATCACATGACTTGAAGAAAATTATATATGATTTCGAGCACGATAGAATTCAAAATCCTGAATATATGACCGCTTGTCTCTCTCCATATGTTGCCCTTTATTGGCATTGATAAAGAAATATATACTGTAGCGAGACGCCGTCCACCTCATTTCGTTTAATATAGCTATTCACAGAGGGCTTTTTTATGGTAAGTGATCGAAAAATGATCCGATCCTTCGAACCTTTTTCAATAGCGTTCGTTCTTGGCTCAAAACGCCTTGTTGCATCGAATTTCACCAAACATTTTAAAAATTATCATACAGAGATATACACGGCTATGTAAGCTTAACGGCTTAAATGCAAGGTGCGGCTATCTCACGTCCTTAGGCGTGTTGCGTACACTTGAATAAACTTAACATAACCTTATCTCAGAAATGGTGTAGAGTACAAAAACATGTCCGTTGATGTTCACATTTCAAATCGGAAGTAGACCTCTTCCGCCCACAATCCAATACGTGCATATCTTCTACAAATACTTTACTTAGATTTGAGACTTTTTGAATGACGAAAATATTGAGGCAGATCTACACAGTTATCGGCTTAGTTTAGTGTATTCTTATCAGTGCTTTTCGAATAATTTTCACCTTCGTAGGGGATAGTGGAAAAAATCTTACAAGTGCAGATCGTAAAGCTTATTTGCATTAGTCTATACATTTTAGGCAAATTTTTACGCGCTGCCTTCGAATACATCTAGACTCATTAAGAGGGTCCCAAAATGTATCCAAGATTTCAGATTTTTTTAATCCTAATTTTTTTTTTTTGAATAATGGTATATATCCAGTAGAAGAGAGTTATGTGTGAAATAGCACTTCGGGCAAATGATCTCCACGGATTTGCTGGAGTATGAACGTTTTGCATAAATGTATTCAATCTTTTCTCTCTCTCTCTCTCTCTCTCTTTCTCTCTCTCTCTCTCTCTATCTATCTATCTATCTATCTATCTATCTATCTATCTATCTATCTATCTATCTATCTATATATCTATCTTTCTATCTATCTATCTCTCTCTCTCACTCAATGGGGAAGACATTCCTGTCCCGTATCTTGGAACACCACCCGACATAAGTCATATTCATCTTCAAGCGAATTAGGTGATTGTATAAAGTTAGAGGTTTTATCGTATAGTTCTCGATTTGCAAATTAGAACTAAGAATATGAATATTTATTGGTCAATAAAATATCAATAAATTACCGACGGTCCTTTATTAAATTGACTTACGACAATATTCAACGATATTTGCTTTGATAGCCATTCTCGACTATTTTTTATTCGTCATTACTAAATCAAAAGTAAAAATCAATTTCTATACACACTTTGAAGGTTAATGGAATTCCAAGCACAATACATTTCAATTATGGCATTGCTCGTATTATGTGTACGTCCTGAATCGTACAATTATAAAGCTGCAAAGATCGATCGATAGACTAATGCAACTAAACCTATTTGACTTTTATTCTGAGAGAGAACAACGCGAACTAATATACTCAATTTTATAGTGATGGGTACAAAGATTAAATTTAATAGAAAAAAATAAATAAATGAATAAATAAAAAATATTTTAACTACTGCTTATCTTCTCCTAGATATAAAAAAAGACTAAAAAAATCGGATATGTCATGTGATTGCCTATAAATAAGTTTATTCACTCATCTATGAAAAGAAATATATAAAAATTTATTTTTATAAGTTTTTTTCTTTTAACTTGAATTAACAAACAAAAAAAAAAAAAAAGACATTAATCTTTTATTCAATTATTTATAGAAAAACAAAAAAACCAAAAAAAAAACCAAGCTAATTTTCACAATAAAAAAAAAGAAAACTTGATACGATAAATTTATATAATAAAAAAAGAGGGAAAAATGAGAAAAACAAAATAAATAATTGAACAAATAAATCACAAGTTGATCAGCTTTAATCATAATGATAATTATTTATAAAATATTGCATAATAAAAATAAAAAATAATAATAATATTATAAAAATTGCCCAACTGCAAAAGCAACTTACACATCAAACCCGCCCTGAAACCAAATAAATACAAAAGAAAAGCTAAAACGCTACTAAAACATATGATGACGAACCTTCACATACATATTGTAACACTCACAATAACAGTAAAGAACAACCAAAAAGACGAAAAAAAAAAGTTAAAAGCCAGAGCAAAAGAAACTTACATTCGTCTCAAAGCGAATATTGTATATATTCACCACATCACCACCTCACCTCACTATCTCACCATCGCATTACCTCAAGCAATCATATAAATAAAATGGAAAGGTTTTTGGTCTTGATGACTGCCAGATTCTCGCAGTAAGTTTCACACTTGCTCCTCGTAAACATTATATTGGCAATCGGTTATCCAATGTCCAATAAGTTGGGAAACTTGGGAAATGCAATAATTAACGAAAACAATTTCTCAGTCTCAACGAATATTTATAACAAATTTCATATCGGTATCTATGCTATAAGTTAAATATTATTTGCAAAGATATTTTCACACTTTCACTTCACGAGAAATATTTGCATATTTTTTTTTTTTTTTTTTTTTGCTATTCACGTGGCGTAGCAATCATTTATTTATTCATTTTTTGTTTGCATTTGTCGCATTAAAATAGAACTAAGTAATGCATTGCAAAATTTTCTTCATCGATTTGCAGAGATTTTAAGCATATATGCAATTTATCGGATGTTTGAAACTGACAACTATATATCTTTCATAGAATCTCTGATACCTATTCCTAGCTATTGCGAGTCTTACAATAATTTTAATAGTCCATAAGCTTCTCAGTGGTGAATATAACAAATTAATAAAAATTTTCTAAACATTTTTAATGGCAAAAAAAAAAAACATTTTATTTATTTTTATCAATTTTTTTTTTTATCAAATACTCATGTCTCTCTCGCTCTATCTCTCTCTCTCTCTCTCTCTCCCTCTGCATTAAATTCTAATAAAATGAAAAATAACAATAATAAAATAAAAAATAAATTATTCATAAAAAAGACTTAAAATAAAAAAAAAATTGAAAAAAAAAAAAAAAAAAAAAAAAAAAATACAAAAAAAAATGAAAAAAAAAATAAGAAAATGAGAAAATAGAAGTTTTGTGAAACACGACCTAAAATTATATGAATAAAAATATTGAAAATATAAAAATTTTAACGTAAATAAAAATATTGTAAAAAAAAATGCTGAAGTTGTCGTGGTTTTAAATCGAAAATGGTGGAAACAAAGGCAAGAGTGCCGAACATCTCGATTCCAAATCGTAATAACATTTATTCGCTAAATTAAAAGCCTATTGCTTTGATTTGATTTCGATAATCACTTATGCACGGTTGGCGATTTTTTCTTTGCGGAGGTCCGCCAACGCTATAATCTTGACGGACGGCGTGTAAGCAGCTTGCAAAACAATGATTCATAACAATTGTTAGGTTTTTATACCCTACACACCACTTGTAGTATATAAGGCTATATTAAGTTTGAGCGTATGGAACGACCCACTTCTTACTATACCGATAAGAATCAATTCCTGAATCCTTTTAAGCTTTCCTTTTTTCTTGTGTTTCACCTAAAGGCCACAATTTTCAAGACATTTTGATAACATGTTACAGCCCGAATATGAATGCTATTGAAAATGGTTCGAATCTGATCATTTGCCATATAAAAGGCAGTATCTTGAGAAGTCGTCATGCGAATAGCTGTGGAGCAGGTGTATCTAACGATCTCTCCTGGTCCACTATAATGATTTTAGATTTTTTTTTTTTCTAATTTGACTACACTCGTTAATTCCATAAAATTCTGCTTTGCAAAAGCATAGATAGACTATAAAAATAGAAATTTACATTTTATCGTCACAACATTGAATACGCTATGTTATATTTACAATATATTAGCATTTTTATATTCATAATCGAAAAATTGCGCTGAGGTTCGCATTAGGGAACCGATTGAATGTGTGCGATATGATCCAATAATGTAGTATTCTCTATCGCGTTCGCACTCGATTACAAAAAATGTCGCTGAACTCATGTGCGTCTTGTTTGATGACTATAAATAAGCTCGCAGCGAAAGAGGACTTCATCCACTCAGCACTTTTGCCTGCATCAACAAACTATAACTGATAGATCTGCTGATAGCAGATAATGATCTAAGTATGACCAAAACGATGCCTGAAAAAATAACGAAACGCTTTGGAGCTTTTATGTTTGCTTTGAGTTGATGGGTTACAAATCAATTCATCTCACCATGAACGTGGCTTTCTAAAAGCTAAAGTAAAAACTAAAAAAAATTTATATTTAATGAGATAATAGCGAAAACAAATAGATTTATGACGAGAATGGCGCATTTGGAAGGATATCTGAAGAAGTTTGCATTTTTTGGATGTCGATCAAATTAATACTTCAATTTATTCGAAACGAAACAAGCTGGAACTTGATACAAAGAGTGGATTCGATTCGAAAAGAACTTTTCTTTTGTTTTTTATTTAATTATTAACCATCATTCTTCGTAAGCGCCTTCACCATTCTCATCATTATCATAATCTACGTTATTTTCCTCTGCTTCTTCTTCATTGTTTGTTTCCTCGGCTTGCTGTTGCTGATCCCACCACGACAAAACACCCAATCCCGATTCGTTAATAGCAGCCTGAATAAAAGAATTATCGAAATAAATATGATTTAATCAGCACTTCTACTTTTAGTAACTTACTATAATCTTATATGGAGTTCTAGCTTCATTTGTTTGTTGAGCTGCTGAAGTACAACCTTGAGCTGATGTTCCCGGTTGTAGTGTTTCATTTTTAGGTGGCCCTATTGGTGAACTTTCCTCAAATATTTCACGCGAGACGCGAAACTTTATGGGCTCTCCTATGTCCATGAAAAGATCATGTTTACCGCCATCATCTAAAGGATACTCCCAGACCCAAGCACGTTCAGTTTCATCAAAACGTGACGGATGCTGCAGAGCTGTTGGTGGTATTAGAATATCATCGAAAAATCCTAACGTCACATGCACACCCTCATGGCTGCAACTGCGTATTTTACCCGTCAGCACATTTCCCACGGGCGGCCGGAACACTATGTAACGAAACACGACCTCCGTATGTGACGCCCCATCCCCCGGCAATATAAAAGAGTCTTTCAAAGAGACTACATCCTTTAATGCTATACATAAACCAACGTTAAGCAATACCTAAAATTGATAGTAATCTTACGTATAGTTCGTGGAGAAAGTTCTGACGTTTACCTTGTTCGCCAATTTACGGTTTATTTCATCTCGTACGGCTTCCAATAGTTTTAAATTAAATTGATCAGGACTTATGCGTACAGTATCTTTAAGTTCAGCCAAAACAAACATTTTCTTTGAAAAAATCTAAAATTACAATAACAACATTATAAACATTTGGAGGCTGCTTTCAATAGCCTTCAATGTTAAACATATGTTTTGTCGGCAAACCAGTGTTAGTAAGTGATTTCGATTATGCAGAAAATTTCTGTTGTTACATAGATAAGAAAATGATGAATCAAACGATGTTGTGTAAAATAAATTGTAATTGTACGTGACAAAATGTATGAAAGAGATGAAATATTGAAGATGAGGGCGATAAAGAGATAAAGCGACTTTTCAATATATGAGCAAAAGTCCAAATAAATAAAAGTCGTTTTTTACTTTTTATTTAAATAGTATATGAGAGATGTGAAGCGCTATTTGCATTATTTACATAAATTTTACGTTCACGCATGCAAGGTAAGAAAATCTAACGAAAATGCTTGTCAAAATTAAATCTCTAGATTTGTATAAAGCTCGAGAAAAATTGGTTAAAGTTGCAAATCTCTATTTTACATATATTAGCATCGCATTGTTTTAATAAATATTTAGATAAAAATAAAAGATAAGGAGAGACGTCACTGACGCGTCCAATGCATCCAAGAAGCAATTTTCAAAAAAACCGACACAAATGACACGAATACAAATAATTTGTTTTTGACGTTAGATTGAAACAATGGCAAATTAAAATCTTACCTAAGTGGACAAATGAATATAAAATTGCTTCCAAGGGAAAGGCACAGTTTTATACTAAAGGTAGTTTCATAAAAAAAAATTCTATAAACAAGTAGCTTTAAAGATGTTAATAATTAAGAGATTGTCTCGCCAATTAACAGAGAGGTAATAATCGAGCAATGTGCAGTATAGAAATATTCTAGGAAAAGGAATTAATGAAAACGAAATTTTCGTTGCAGTTGCAATTGACCTCAGTCACATCATTTTCACAAACTTTATTAAACAATTTTCTGTTGAGTATAAACATACACACAATAATTACGATAAATACATTTTATAAAAAAAAATAAAATTAAAAAAATTAGATTGGGCTAAGAGGCGGGGAGTAGTAGTATAACATATTTATTAATAAATAAGGAAATCACAAAGTGAAGAGGGCACGTTATGAATTTATACTATCAATATCTTGTTCTTAATTAGCGCTGAACACGATCTCAATGCTTTCAGAATTATTTAATTATTTTATATTTCGTTTGTGTATTTTCTTTATTTAAGTTTTAAATTATAGTTTCTTTTTTAAAAGTAATCTTTATTTTTTAATTGTTTAGCTTTTCAATTATCGTATTTAACAAATGTGATAACATGTTGGATATATAAGGAAGTTCTCCTTAAAACATCCTCAATGAGTGGCTTTAGCTCTTGTTGCTTTTTCTACTGCTTTTTTGTTATTGTTGCGTAATTTAGCAAATTCTCGTTTTGTATTGACTTATTATGGCATTTGTGTTAGACTTTAATCCTTCTTAGGGACGAAGAAAATTTTTCGTGATTTTAAAGTCGACCACTTGTGTCTTTTAATATAGTAAGCGAGGATAGTTAAAATGGTCATAAGCCCGACAGTTTTGATAAGCATTTGTTTGCGTACATCGTGTTCGGGCTCTGAGGTCCACTTGAGGAAGGTGGACACATCTTTGGCTAGCTGACTTGCAGTTGGTGGTGTACCATCCTCGTATTCAATGACCTGATAAGTAAAAGAATTCATATATTTGTATTTGTTCTCTAAGATAGTATTTTAAAGGATATTTACTTCATTGTATAAAACTTGAGCCATAGAAATAGCACCTCCTGGGAAATAAGGATTGTAGTATTGACCATCACGCAACGCTACACCGGCCGGGGCGTCGAAGTAGCCAGTAAGCAGCGAAAAAATGTAATCCTCACCACCTTTGCGAGCCGATACTATGTAACTTAAATCTGGCGGATAAGCGCCGTTGTTGGCAGCGCGAGCAGCCTCTTCATTGGGATAAGGTGCTGGGAAGTAATCCGATAGCTTACCAGGACGATTATAATATTCTCCGTTATCATCAGGACCATCTTTTACCTAAAATTTATTTTAAAGCAGGCTAGCAAAAACTGAACAGAAACCTAATAAGACTGAAGTTTAACTTACGGTAATGGCAGCTGCCTCCGCTTTGGCTTCAGCCTCAGTATGTGAAACACCAATTAAATTACGATAAGCAATGTATTGCATAGAATGGCAGGCGGAACAAACCTGCTTGTACACTTCGTAACCACGACGGACACTATACAAAACATTGTTCACGATACCCGGTAATTCTTAAAAAAATTTCTTTCTAATGAATATGATTTGCTAACCTGGTGTGATCCAGCGAGGCAATTATACCACTGTGGCTCCATGGCATCTTAGGTGGATGCACCTCGGTGCCCGAAGCTTCGACAGATTGCTCCAAGGCATAAATAAGTGCACCAACACCTCCGGTTAAAGCACCAATGGTAGCAAAAAGCTACAAACACAAAATACAAACAATCATGTAATACAACAAAAATCAAAATAACGCATTGAGGTTATGCTAATTGCAAAGTTGACATTTGTGTTCAATTCATTTTCAAGTGTGTTACATACGTGTATGCGTATGCACTAATATGCACTCATATGTTTCTTCACAAAGCTTACCTTCTTTTGACCATTGGTCCAAGTTTTGGTAGTTGAGAGATTATTGGCCTAAAAAGTATACTTATTAATGGCAATATTCTTAAAAAACTATTTTATAGATTTTTGATTATTCAGGAAAAAGGCAAAGAGCAAAGAAAGAAAGAACAAAACCTCAATTATGGATTACATAATATCACGGCTAGGGAATTTTTCTTCAATCACTGCTATTATAACTTAACACTTCTTAGTAATTGAATAAACAATCTCAATGATAATTCTTCTTTGATTTTGTTTGGAATCGTAAGGGCAAGAGAACATTTTAATTGATTTTTTTCTTATTATATTACATATTATTTTGCTTGGGATCTTTATAAAGATTCATTTTTTGTGATGATTTAACACTCTTTATCTCTGATGATTTTGAATAAATATAGTTTATGCGTCCATCGTACCTGCTGTAGATTCAATGCAGGTGCAGATTTAAGCAGTTTTGAACCACAAATTCTTCCTAATGTAGCCGCCATAGTCTTGGTTAAAGAAGGTACAACACGACTTTTTGGAGGAGTGAAAGAAAATTCGAAAATGTATTACGAAAAAAGTGCACCAACACTCTCGCGACGCACAAACACTTTATCAAATGCGTTACACATAATTGAGCTAATGATGCCAGACTGCTCATCACCGTATGCCATCGCAAATTAGAAGGGCTTGTTTAAAGCGTAATTACGATAAAGCATAATAAACATTATAAATGTTACATTAATGTCCGTCACAATTTTAGAGAAGAAAACTGTTATCCACTCCTCATACCATGTTGTCCTAATTATGGAAAATGCTTATTCTTACGGTGTTGTTTTGCGCAGTTTTTTAATATATTTGGGAAAATGTGGATTTCATTATTTTTATGTGGAATGTATATTCGTCATTATATAAGGAGAGCGTTGTTCCTTTCTAATTTTAATGGATCAACTCCAAATGTTTAAATGTTATCAATAGCAATTAAACTCGTTGCTTTAGATATTATTTATAGATTTAGATATTATTTAGGCAATGACGATATTTCCTACGAATACCTACATGTGTTGCTAGAAGCATTTGGCTATGTTTTCATATACAGATCGCTCTTCCATTCTCCCTCTCTGTGCTTGTGTTGCCTATTCAGATATATTCATCAGGTTTGAAAAGTTCTCAAAAGTAGGAGTATGCAACATTAACTGCCTACATGGTCGCTGGAACTTTTTCATTTTGCTATGCCAACGGCTTTTGTTAAGTTGGTCCGTTAGATAATGTTATTTTACAGAGTTGGTCCGTTAGATAATGTTAAGTTTTTGTTTTGCCGACGGCTTTTGTTAATTTGGTGCGTTAGATAATGTTATTTTACAGAGTTGGTCCGTTAGATAGTGTTAATCCTAATGTTGGTCCTTTATTTTACAGAGTTGAACCTTCTGGTCTGTTAAGTTGCGCGTTTGTGTAGGCCTCCATCATATTGTTCATTCAACACGGATCCCTAAAATGACACCCATGGCTGAAATTGAAGTTTATTCGCAAAGATAAAGTTATGGTTGAATTCGTTCGCTCGTTCGTTCTTTCTTCTTTATGAAATGTTAAACCACGAATTCCGCAAAGTGGCAATACTACAAGCACATATGTTAACAAACTGCTAAAGATTTGATTTTCTGAACTATAATAAGACGTACGCCTAAAATATGATCATCATCCACGCAGAATCTCTGCTTTTAAAGAGAATTCTTTTAAGGGGGAGACAAATTATTGCTTAAGGTTTCGATAGTCATCATAATTACGATGATCTCATTACGTTTGCAAATGTTCGCAAATTTGTTTCACATGTATTTTATTTTGAATCAGGATAAAATCAGGATTAAAATGTTTCTTTTACAGTATAAAAATCTTCAAAATAATTCAAATTGCAATAAAGGCACAAAATTGATTTTTTGATTTGTTTTGCGGATATCACTCCACGTTTTGTTATAGAGAAGGAAACTAGCATGGAATTAAATTTACTTAACAAATTTTTATATATATACATTTTCAGATTTGGACGGTAAACAATTTTTCTTGTTTTTTTTTTTTTTCATTCCTGTGATAATCTTGTACACTTGCACTTAAGGTTTTTATATTTCTTCTTTATAATTTATAATAAGCGATAAAGTTTTTTTGGTGGTCTACATTTAGGTTCCCGGTTATCAGAGAATTATGTATTTTGCCTATTTTTCTACTTTTGTTTTCAAAAATTTTTCTTTGGTTAAAAATTCCGGCAAAACAATTTCTAAATCAAAAAACGAAATATTTTGAAAGCAAGGTGTCGCAGAGCGGAACACAACAAACATAACTCAAAATGTATATGACGAGTTTAAGGTAGCTTTTCTTTGTGATACCTACACGTAGCGTAACCGTACACCAATTTCATTAAATAGGTATCGTTGATAAAGCTGGATCTTGCCAGATATGTTTTAAAGATTTAGTTGTAGAAGAGAATATTCTCTCCGAATATGTGAAACATTGACAATATTGAAATATGGTAGGTTTATACATACGGCCTTCACAGATAATATCAATTTACCAGATTCTTTTAAAACCGAGGATAAAATATATTCGATCGGTAATCTTTTAGAAAGCAGCTGTAACGAATTTAGTTTAATTTATTAATTAGCTAATTCAGAATTGTTTGAAATAAAAGACTTCTTTATAAATTTTATAATTTAACATTTAAAAATATATAAGCCTAATTTTTCAAAATACATCAAATAAAAATAATTAATTCGATACGTTTGCCAGTAACGACGGTACTTGGCCTTCAATACGTTCTCTTATTAAATTACCCCGGTTTTGCTGCACTAGTTGTTTGACATCATAATACCATCCACCTAAAAAAATTTCGTAACAAAGGAATTTATTTTCTTTTGAAAGCAAAAATTCTTTACTAATTTTGGTTTTCTCCATGCAGTCCTTGAAAGCTTGACAACCCTCCATACTGCTCAGTACGCCATAAACAGCTAAGTCACCTAAATTAGGCTGTTTCCCACCCAAGAATTTACTTTTACATTTATCCACTTCCCTCATCCATTTATTAAGGGCGTCATATATATGTCCACGCACATCGTCGCTTAAATTGTGTCGTCGTTTCAGAATTTTTGATATCGTCCACATAGCAGTAGCACCAACGTACACCATTAAGTCGCGTTCCCATTTCGGAAAATGTATATCCCATTCACCAGCTTCAGAAAACCATTGAAATGTCTCGAAAGCTTCACCCAACGATTGATAACAATTAGGTGATATCAAATGAACCAAATGTTGATCCGCCCAAGTTCGCCATTTACGTTCAGTTCTGTAATTACACAAATTAATTTTATTTTGTCGCAATTACTTGACTTCTTTTCTTACTGTTCAGTTTCTTTAGTGTGAGTTTTTGGAGTACGTTCTTGGTACATAAGAAAATATTTATTCATAATATCATGTTTTTTTTTATCATCATTGTCGAAAAACGAAATGGTTGGATAAAAATCTGCCAATTCTCCTATATCACTACTTTTATCATTTAAATAGGTAGATAGTAGAGATATTATGGCGCTGGAGTCAGTCATTTGCACATATGACCCGTTTGCTTGTTTAATCAATATCATAGGTACTTTTTTCTGGGGTGACCATTTTATATCTTGCCGCAGGACAGCGTCTACTTCCACTACCGAATATGATATTCCCATGTAATCCAAAAATGCTCTTACCTTACAACAAAACGGACAAGTTTGAAATTGAAACAGCGTGATATCTAAACCCGTTTTGTCGTTTGGATTTATGTAACGTTTTGTGATCTTAACACCAGCTGGAAACTGAGCTATACGGATAGGCAATGTCCGCTCGTGTTCTTTGTGTGAATCTTTGCCCTTCCAATTGTTGATTAATGAGTAGATGGTGCCTCCGGTAGCCCCCACAGTAGTTCCCAATAATGCTAACTTTAAAGTATTACCACTGCCTCTACCGGCGCCGCCATTACTATTACCAGCATTTGTCTTGAATTCCCTCAGTCGCAGATTACGTGGTATTACAATTAAACGCGAATTATTAAAATTAACTGATTGGCGTGCTAAAAAAATACCAAAAGTACGGTAAGCAGCCATTTCGTTGGAAATTTTGCTAAATTTTACTAAGAATTAATAAATTTTCTACGATTTCTGCCTTTTTAAAAAAATTGGCAGAATTTTCACATTGCTTTTTGACAAACTGAAATTAAGAAAAATTTCTCCCAACTGACAGTGTCAGGAAAAATCGATACATAAAAAAATTGCTCTTACGTTAAAAGTCAAGAAATGACAGTTATGGCAACACTGCTTTTTAATTCAAATTGTTTGAAAAGAAGAATCATTTTAAATTAAGTCGCTTGCCAGCTGTCGCGTTTTCTAAACATAATTGGTGAGCATTTTTCGGATTTTTTGCTATTTATTAAGTAAATGATTGAAATTAATTATCTTTTTTCGAAGTGCAAATATGTATACTCGTAAGGAACGATCTTATAGTAGTCCTGTTAATGAAATGGCTTCACCGCGAACGCCCGAAACGGCTTTGAGTTTTAGCCGCGAACTGCGTCAAGTGTTGCAGGAGCGCAATTTGTTGACTGCTAAGAGCAGAACGAAGGGTACGTTTTCCAAAGTAATATAAAAATAACTTTTCCACTTTTTAATGCTTGCCGGCAAATATTTCCTTGCCAATTTTGCTATTTTATCTTTGACCTGAGCATTGAAACTGTATGAATAGTATACGCAAGTATGCATGCGCGAATGTGCAGTTATTGCAAACAATTCCATTGGAAATCCCTCCAGAAATACGCTCACTTTTCAATTAATGTTTACGTCAGAAAGGAAGGAAAGTTTCATGTTTCGCGCATATATTCTTATTTATGAATGAGTATGCGAGTATGAGTATGAAGGAGTATGCATCATGGACGGAACGCGCGGTATCTGAGTGTAAGCCGAGAATCTATTACGGAAATGCATAGGAAATTTGCTTAAGATCCAATAACGATATTGTCCTCGATACTTATTTTGAACATTTTTTCTTTTATATTCTGATGGATGTAACATGGATGTTATTGTTTTTTCTTATTTTCAGTTTGCTCGATGTTAGCTGGAGGCACTGGTAATACACCCATTTCAACTCCTAGCAGTGAAGTAGATAAAAGACGTAACTTCCGTTTGCAGGCTATACAAGAAATTGTGAGTTCTGAAAAGACTTACTTGCAGCAGTTGGAGCTGTTAATGGAATATTTCGTTAAGCCTTTAAAAGAAGAAAAAGTTATTGACGAGACCAGTCACATTGCTTTGTTTGGTCAGATTGAAATGATCCATAATTTAAATGGTGAATTTTTGCAAGAATTGCAATCTGATATGAACAATGTGGCAAAAGCTTTTTTACGAATGGCACCTTTTTTTAAACTATATTCCGTGTATGCCTTTGACTATCGGAACGCGTTATTTTTATTGCAACATTTGGTATCGAAAAATGCGGGCTTTCGTCGATTTTTGGAAGTAAACGAATCGCGACCAGAGGTGCAGCGTAAATTAAATTCTCTTATGATTGTACCCATACAAAGAGTGCCGCGATATAAACTATTGTTGGAACAAGTACTTCTCTATACCAGTCCGGCTGACACTGACTTTAAAGCGTTGAGACAATCGGTCAAAGAGATTGAAAACACGGTATCTCATATTAATTCTTGCGTGGAAGATCAAGAAGTTACGCAAGTGTTGATTAATTTACAAAATTCCTTGGTTAATCGAACGCCGAATATAGTGCAGCCATCTCGTAAAGTTATCAAAGAGGGTGTTTTGCAGAAAATCACTCGCAATGGTGAAGAAATTAAAAGATATTGTGTCTTAATGTCAGATATATTCATGTATTGCAAAATACTAAAAGAGAGATTGCCCAATACGGCAGTGGACAATGCTTTAGAATGTTGTTGTATATTTCCGTTGAAGAAATGTAAAGTTTATGAACTTCTACCGGGTAATTTTAAAATTACATGTCAGGGCGATGGTATTATATTTAGCACCAGTGATATGCAAGTATGCCGTGCATGGATCGGATTTATACGTGATGCTATTGACTTGCATATACAGTGTCGCAAGACGTTACGCAAGGAGAGTAGCAAACGTACGCCATTGCGTAAAAAGGATGTTAAGCATTTCGGGGAAGAGTACATGTTGAGCCCCCGCGGAAAGCGCTGCGTAAGCAAAACCTATTTTATTGTTTTTAAATTGAATATCGCGTTACATTTATTGTGTTTTCAGGATTTTGAGTCAATATTTCGTAATAAAAATCGTACTACTGACTCGGAAGAGGAATCCGATCAATCTTTTACAAGCAAATCTTGCTTTACTAATAAACGGAAAAGCGTGAAACGTTCCTTTTCAATGCCATCGATGAATTCCGAAAATATAGACTTACGTCAAGACCTAAAGACTGAGTTGGCTAAAAGAATAGTAATGGAAAAGAGTATATCACGATCTTGCAAACTTTCATCGAATAATAAACTTGGAAGAGCTCGTGGTATTTTGAAAAAAAATCGATTAGAACACAACAAAATCGGTACTTCTGTGGACCATCTTGAACCAAATTATGCTTTTGCTGATCGGGATATTAGTAGCAAGTCCCGCTTTCTTGCTAATAAAGTAGATAGTAATTTGCAGAATAATATCACTGCTTGGAGCGCCGACGGTCGCTCTCATAATTTGAAGTCTAATAATAGCGATTATGTAACGTATCCGTTTGCGATACCTAAGAAGTTTCGAAATGATATAAATTCGCCGCCGAAAAAGAAACGTGTAAAATTTGACAATAGCTTAAATGCTGTTTACGAGCAACCGCAACGATTTGAATTCCCTCGACAATTAGCTCAAGCTAGCGAGCGTCCCAGTCTACGGGAAAGAATTTATGATTTTTTCGCGAAATTGTTTTAAAATTTTATTTTAAGTGCATTGTAAGGAAATTGACTACAAAGAAGGAAAGAAGAAAGAAAAGGGGAAAAAGTTTTGTAATTTTTTTTATTTATATCTTTTACTTGTAAGAAAAAAGTATTTGAAATAAAATTTTTCACTTTTTTAAACAGTTTTTACAAGTTAATTCATAAACAGCATGCATAAATGTTTCTACAGCTTTTTCGCACAAATCGTTTGCCCAGTGGCCTTCTTGTTTAAAATGTGAACCAACGATAACCGCTTGTGTGTTATAAAAATAATCCTTTAGATTATTTCTATTAACTCCGGAACCAACGATTAAAGGAATAGTTATTTGATCTTTTAGTGAAAGCACATCTTCCAGCTTAGCAGTTTGGCCAGTAGAAGTACCTAAAAATTTATAGTAAAGTTAGGATTGAAATTTTATCTTATCCGCTTTCACCTCACCTGTAACAATAACGCCATCTGAAAGAAAAAACTGGGCAGCTTTAGCTGTCTCTAGTAAGGAGAGATCATCCGTAACGGCATGTGAACTATGCTTTTTCTTTAAATCGGTAAATATCAAAATTTGTGAAGCGTCAATTCTTTGTCTATAACGCAATAATCGGCCAGCGCAGGCATTTGTGTAGCCTTCGTCCGCTATATGGCCGAAAACAAATCCTTCACACCTTATATACTGCAGATTGCAGGCTTTAGCAACTGCCATGGCTTGCTCATTAGCACTTGCCAAGATCTGTATGCCAACCGGCATAGAAGGGGGCGTTATATTTTTTATCTCTTGAGCTATTTTACCCATACAAGCAACAATTTCTGGGCCAATATCGTGGTCTTGTATATAAGGGACATCGTGCATATTTTCGATTAATACGGAATCCTATACAAACGCACACCCACACACACACACACACACACACACGCACACATACACAGTCAAACGAAAATATAAAACCGATTGCAGATAATCATAGAGAAAGCCAAATATGAAGCCGAAGTCTATAAAAAACACAAATTGGTAATAATTCTATATATTATCTCTATGATTATCTGCAATCGGTTTTATATTTTCGTTTGACTGTGTATGTGTGCGTGTGTGTGTGTGTGTGTGTGTGTGGGTGTGCGTTTGTATAGGATTCCGTATTAATCGAAAATATAAAACCGATTGCAGATAATCATAGAGATAATATATAGAATTATTACCAATTTGTGTTTTTTATAGACTTCGGCTTCATATTTGGCTTTCTCTATGATTTCTGGCCAGTTGCTCTTATAAAGTGGTGTTCCTATTTTGAATATTGCGAAAATATGTTTTAAAAAAATATATTATCGAATAAACAATTTAGTACCTGGCAAAGCTCCCACGTGCACCATACCAATTATATTACATGTTTGTTTACCAAATATGCGTGAAAATCTTTGCATTGCAAAGTACGTTTCATTAAAAAGAAAGAAAATCACACAAAGTTGCCAATCAAAAGATTATATGGGAGTTATTCAATAAACGGTAAAGAGTATCAATTAAGTTATGAATATATCCGAGTTATAGTAGTGCTCATCGAATGATCATCGGTAATGTTTTGAAGAACTTTCTCAAGTGGCAATCAAATTTTCCATTACTTAACGTTGAAATCGGTCTCTTTTAATTATATAGAGTACCAAAATCTCTAAGCGATCGAATACAAGCTGTCTCTTAAAAAACTAGAAACTTATTATAGAATTCGTTTAGCGGAAGGAAATATATAAAGTTAATGTAAGTATCATTTATTGGAAAATCGGAAAAGATTATGATTTACTTTTAATAATTATTTATATTATGCATGAATTCCATAATTGAAAGGCAGATCTTCAAAAAGAATGTATTGAAAAAGTTCTGGCAAATTATTTAATATTTATAAATATTAAGTTTGAAGTAATATATATACATTCTCCGATCACCTTCTCCGTCTTCTTCTTCTTCTATTCAGCAAATCAACAATCGAAAATTGGCTGAGATGTGCAAAAAAAGGCTCAATGTGAACACAGAGTTGTTTATTAAAGTTATGCTAGTTTTCAGATTATAGTAAAAGGTGGATGTATCTTAAATATTTCTGGGTATTACACACATCCGCACAATCTTAATACATCCTGTATTACAAGTGGTGTAAGGTATAAAACGCTTTGTAATTCCGTACAGTTCGACTGAGATAGTGATAATATTCGGATTTTATTATGATGGTACGTAGGATAAGGGACTAGTACTAGTTTTATTTTGATGTAGACTTAAGGATCGAGCCATAAATAAGTTTGAAAGATATCATAACACATATATATAGGCTTGCAAATAAATTTCCCCTAGTTTTTGATAAAAATCAATTTTATTTAACATACATACTCGTGACAAAGGCTAACAAACAAAATATTCATCATTATCTGTGATCTCTTGCCACTTATCGGGTTGTTTGCGGTAGCACTCGCGTTAGAAACTTCCTGCTTTCGAGGCGAAATAGCCATTGGTCCGACTTTGCACATCTGAAACTTTGAGGAATCTACTACATACGATTGCATCGTCCTGAATCAATGTTAATTAAAAGGAGAGAAGGAAGACGAAGAATAATCGCCAATCGGGAGAGAAGTCCCAGCCCAAGTTGAAGATAACTTCCTGGCAGTTTAACCCATTTAGAAATAGAAAAAAGGCGGGCCTGCCTTTTGATTTCCATCTCTTTGCACTTGAACGATTGTTTGTAAACAACTAACTGAATCTTATACCGTACCAATGGCAACATCTAAGTTATCTACACCTAACATTTTGGGGAAAATTGAACATGTCAAGTACGTTTTATGAAGCAACCAATTTTAATCGGAAAAAATGTAATATATGTATGTCTATTTGTATATTTTATTATATGGAGATTGTGTCAGCTTAGTTTAGTTCAGCCATTTTAATCAATCTTTCCGTCTTTTGTCGTTAAGGTCGATATGGAAAATTTAAACTTAATATTTTTATATGAATATGATCGGCTTAATCCTTTCGAATATCTTTCAAAGGCTCACGATCCACAGCAAGTTCTGATCTGAATTTTGTGCCTTGAAATCACATTAAAAACGTCTTATATATATTGTAAAATATAATTCTGATGTTTCAGAGACGAAAACAGTGTGCTTGCAAGTGATTTATTTTCAATTAAAAAAACAAGTAAAAACAATAAAGTAGGCCACGGCCCGCTATTAAGTACCCTATACTATGCTACAGTTATTCCTTTAACATATCATTTCAAAATGAGCCCTTATATGATAAATGGTCGAAAAAGTGATCCGACCCGAATTGTTTTCAATTGTGTTCGTCCTTGGACACCAAATTTCATCCAAAATATTTCAAAAATTGTAGCCCATAAGCATATATGGGGGGACATTAGACGAGCAGACCAACAGACAGTGAGTCTACATCAATTATTAATGTAGCCTTGCACCACAAGTGGTGTAGGGTATAAAAATATTTTTTTGCTTAGGAGCGTCGGGCTTAACACTTGTATGTGTTTATTGCATTATTAATTATCTATATAAATTTCGCATACATTGTCCTTAGACAAGTAGCATTGTTTTGTTGAAAAACATTTTCAATGTTTTTTGCAGTGATAAGAGAGTAAATTAAAAAAAGAAAAAAAAAGGACAGTTAGTCACGATTTCAAAATTATCTTACCGATCGGTCACAATAAACTCACCTAGTTATCTCATTTCAAAATTTTGAGTCAATAAGCGATGTGCAGTACTATTTGAAACGTTTGCCATATGTTGCTATGTAGGATTATCTTCATCACAGTCACCCCATTTGGTCGATCACTCCGATATTTGCTTTAGAAGCTCGCACGTTTAGACGTAGTAAACCAAGGTAGATCGAGACAAGCATAGAACTTATGCTTTTTCCAGGTTTTTTTTATCTCTACTACAATATTGGTTGGACTACCATGTTTCAAATGCAAGTATGGTTATGTTCACTTTCGGGTTAACATAATTGTCAAATGTAGTTTTAGCAAAACCAGCAATGTTAAGCGAACACATATCATTTCATATCATTTGAAATGTAATTCAAAAAAGGAAACAACACAAATTGGTCAGAATCGAACAATTTGTTCTTAATTAAAGTCGTTACGGGTTTTCTTTAGAAATTTTTTTACCGCATGCAGTTAATATCTAGAATCGTCAGAAGATGAGAGGTACATTAATTTTTTGAAAAAAATATTTGCCACGCTCGGAAGGAAGTTTCACAGATCCCACCAAGTATGTATATTCTGAATCGATTTAAGCATGTTCATCTATCCGGCGGTCCTCTGTTATAAGCATTCCCGCATGGCCGCAAAAAAAAGAAGCTATTTTGACTTCAAAATAAGCCGAAACATTGAAAGTTCTTGCAAGTAGGTTGGTATTAAAATTGAATCAAATCGATCTACGGACAGAGCCTACAATACCACGTGAACTGAGAACAACTCTGGTTTTCAAAAGGAATAAAAAATTGGGTTTTCGTGCATTACGCATAAACTATGGTAGACAAATGCACAAAAATGTGAGAGTAAATTCTATGGGCGAGGTTGTATATACTGAGGAAATTAGCCACGCCCACACAATATTATAATGCATTAAAGTTTAATTTTTTTCAATAGCTTTAAGAAGCGCTGGAGCACGCTCCAAAAACACCGTAATGTGTGTAAATTCCTAATCAGTTTCAAATTCGGAATGCACCTAAGCATGTCTGCCGGTTCATCTGTCCATGTGCCCTTCTGCGCAACTATTTGCTTATGGTATCTGTGGTAAATATTCGTCTGTACGCAAAAATAAAGATAACGTTTACAAACTTGCAAACGAATTTGGAATTGACCTAAACTTTTCAAAGGACACGCCTACAACGTCCCCACGTTTATATAACAAGATATGTGAACACAATTGCTTTCCGTATATTTTTGCTTATGACTCTTAAAGCGCAACACATACGCTATAAATAAAATATAAATTTTTCTACCGCGCCCACATAATATTATAGAGTACAAAAATTTAATTCTATTCCATATTTTTAGAACTTTTGCTGTGATAGGTGTAAAGGTTCAGTGGACATGTGAATATAGGTAACAATTGTAGGTAACAAATATAAATATCTTAAAAATGTTGGCATGATAGGGGTGTGTGGGAGCGTGGGGAAGGGGCCTGGTGATTTCAATCAAATCGATCGCAATAGTTGACTTGAAACGCCATTGGAATATTTTAGGGCATATCCAATAATCTTGAAGGCGTTAAATTTCAAATATAATTTAAATACCGATAAGATTTCTTTGTTAAGCTCTTTAAGGTTTATACGCCCTTGATAAGCAATCAATTGATAGATTAAATAAATACACCTTAAGATGGTATTGATATATGATGTCACTCAGGCAGGCTTTAGCTAAACAGTATTTTATACAGCAGTGGACAAAATAAGAAAAGAGAGTGTGAGAAAGAGAAGCAGCGAGAGAAGAGAGAGAGAGAGAGAGAGAGAGTGAGAGAGAGAAAAAGAAAGAGAGAGAGCTTAAAATGTTGAAAATAAAAGGGAAAAAAATACTCTTTAGACAAACGCTCAGGCTTATTCTATACGCTAGTTAGTGAACATTCTGTAGTCAATTTGCAGTTTGTTTAGTCAAACATCTCGGTCAGATTAAGTAGTATGTGGCATAAGTTAAAGCGAACAGCTTCAATTTAAACAGTTCTCTAAACGATTTAAAACGGTCAAAACGTTAGTGTTAGGAAAATCGACTATAATTAACAGGTGATAAATTGATATATGAAAATTGTTAGCAAGAAAGAAAACAAAAATCATAAACGCAATCAGATTTATAATGCGCTTGATATCTATCTTGATATATTCTATTGGAGGACAAATAGTTAATTGCTTCCTCAACATTATATATTTGAAAAAGAATGAAAAAAATAAGTAAATAAATCAATCAATAAATAAATAATAATAAATTATTAAGTAAATATTTTTGAATAAAATTTGAATATTGATAAAAATTGTTATAAATAATTTTTGATATATTAAACATTGTTTTTATTATCATTAGCACATAAATAGATGCATACAATTCTTAATAGATAACTAAACATCTATGCATATAGATGTATATAATTCTTAAAAGGCAAGTTTCAAAACCAAACTTCAAATTCATGCGACAACGAGTATTTAAAAATCATCAAGCAAGACCGAAAATTAATCAAAGAGAATATTAAAAGAAAAGTATATAAACAATAGTCGTATAGTAGGCTTATATTCGACTTAAATCGAATCTTTCACACTAACCACTTGCGATGTCAATATGTTAAAGAAAAAAAACATCTTATGTATATATATATATGAATGAAAATTTGAAACTCTTCCTGACCGGTGTGTTCAGTATTCTTATATGTACATGATAGAAGGCGCGATCATATCAACATTTTC